GGATTGTTTGGTTTGTTTTTCATTGTTGACTCGTAGGGGTCCTTTATGTATTTTCCATACTAAAAAATATGATTTGCAAATATCTTCTCCCATTTAGTAGATTGCCTTTTCACTTGAGTTGATGCTTTCCTTTGCTGTGCAGAAGCATTTTTGTTTTATGCAATTGCACCTGTTTATTTTTGCCTTTGTTCTCTTGCTTTTGGAGTCTGGTCCAAATAATCATCATCAAGACTGATGTCAAGGAGCTTGCCACCTATGTTTTCTTCCAGATTTATGGTTTCAGGTATTACAGCCAAGTCTTTAATCCATTTTGAGTTATTTTTTACGTATCATGTAAGGTAGTGATCCAGTTTTACTCTTTTGCATGTGGCTGTTCAGTTTTCCCAACACTATTGAGGATATTTTTTTCAATCTCTTTGGCTCCTTTGTTGTGAATTAATTGACCATATGTATGTGGGTTTATTTCTGGCCTCTGTTCTCTTCCATTGGTCTATGTGTCTGTTTTTATGCCCCCTGATACTGTTTTGATTACTTATAGCTTTGTAATAGTTTTGGTATCAGGGAGCATGATGCCTCCAGCTTTGTTCTTCTTTCTCAAGATTGCTTTGGCTATTTGGGATGTTTTGTGGCTCCATACACATTTTAGGATTGTTCTAATTCTGTGGAAAATGCCATTGAAATGTTGATAGGGATTGCATTGAATCTGTAGATTGCTTTGGGTAATATGGACAGTTTAACAGCATTATTTCTTCCAATCCATGAGCACAGAATATCTTTCCATTTATTTATGTCTTCTTCCATCTTTCATCAAAGTCCTATATAATAATCAGTGTATATAGGTCTTTTACTGCCTTGGTTAAGTTTATTCCTAGGTATTTTATTATTTTTGATGCAATTATAAATGGGATTGCTTTTTAAATTTCCTTCTATTTTGTTATTAGTGTATAAAAACACGACTTTTTTGTATATTGATTTTGTACTTTGCTGAACTTTAACAAATTTCAATTTGTTTATTCTAACAGGTTTTGTTTTTTTTTTGATGGAGTTTTCAGGATTTAAAATGTTTATTTTTGAGAGAGAGAGAGAGACCCCACATGTGAGCAGGGGAGGGGCAGAAAGGGAGGGGGGACAGAGGATCTGAAGGAGGTTCTGTGCTAATAGCAGAAAGCCCACTGCAGGGCCCAAATTAATGAACCGTGAGCTCATGACCCAAGCCAAAGTCAGACACTTAACCAACTGAGCCACTCAGGTGCCCCTCAGGATTTTTTTTATATGTAAAATCATGTTGTCAGCAAATAGTGACAGTTTTATTTCTTCCTTTGTAAGTTAGATGCTTTTTACTTCTTTTTCCTGTCTGATTGCTCTGGCTGGGATTTACAATGACATGTTGAATAAAAGTGGTGAGAGTGGGTGTTCTTTTTCCTGACATTAAAGGAAAAGCTTTCAGCTTTCACTGTTAAGTATGATAGCAGTGGGCTTGTCATATATGGCCTTATTCTCTTCAAATAATTTTTCTGCCCCCTTTTCTCCTTTCTCCTCCTCCTCCCATGCAAATGTTAATACATTTGATGGAGTCACTGAGTTCCCTAAGTTTATTCTCATTTTGCATATTTCTTTTTTTTTTCTCTTTTGTCCATCTTGATTACTTTCCATTACTCTTCTAGGTGGTCAATTCCTTCTTCTGCTTCTTCCAGCCTGCTGTTCATTGCATTAAGCATGTTTCTAATCTCATTTATTGCACTCTTCATTTCTGATAATTTTTTTAATCTATGTATTAAGGGTTTCACTGATGTCTTCCACTCTTTTCTCAAGTCCAGTGAGTATCCTTATGATCATTGCTTTAAATACTCCATCAGACATGTTACTTATATCTGTTTCATTTAGATCTCTGTCTGTGGCCTCATCCTGTTCCATTTGGTACCTCTTCTCATTTTAGGTCTCTGTGCCTATTTCTGTTTGTTAGGAAAGTCAACTAGGTCTCCTGCTCTTGAGGGCCTTATAAGTAAGAGGTCTTGTAGTGCCCTGCTGCATAGTGTCCCCTTTTCCCCCAGGGCCTGGTACTTCTGAGTGTTCCTCATGTGTGCTGTATGTGTTCTGCTGTTTTCTCTTGGATGCTTTATCCTTCCAGCTAGTCGTCTGCAGATTATTTGCCTGTTGTGGGTAATGTTTTATCCTTGGCCTGAATGTAGCACATTTTAACTAGATGTGCTCTCGTCTGCCTGTGAAATAAGACCTTTTGCCACTGTCACTGGAACGGAGGCCCTGCAAAATTCACAGGTTGGGAGATGCAGTATTGGCAGGGATGTGGGCCAGTCTTCTGAGGGAGGGGGCCCACTCCACTAGGATTAAGGCAATCATGACTAGGAAGGGTAGTTCTACCAGACCATGGAGGGTGCTGAGCTTGGTGTAAACAAGTTAGGCAGCAAGTGAGCAAGTGTCTGTGCTATGCTGGTTCCCGCAGGTGTCCCTGTGTTTATGTCGAGGGGTGGGGGAGGGAAATGGCATCTACCAGTTCCTTTGTTCCTGCAGGGATCTCTCCATGAATTCTGCCTCTTTGGGACACACTACAAGATGAGCAAATAACCTCCCCACTCCGTGCCCCAGGCATTCTTCGGATCACTGTCCACAGGCTGTTTGCTCTGCCTTCTCTCCAAAAGCAGTCCCAAGGCCTCCTGTCTCTATGTGATCCTGCTGACTTTTAGAACTCCAGGCTTTAAGCCCTACTGGATGCAAGTACTCGTGAAATTTGGCCCCTCTTGCTTTCCAAGCTAATTGCTATGGGGATTCATTTTCCCCATGCTTTCCCATGTGCTAGTCTGTCTCTTGCCCTTCTCTGTGACCATGGCTCTCTCCCCGCAAATGTCAGCCACGATCCATTTCTCTCCCAGACCACATCTCCACACTTCCTACCTTCTTTGATGTGGCCTCTTCTCTACCTTCAGTTGTGGAGTTTGTTCTGCCTGCCAGTCTTTAAGTTGATTTCTGGAGTATTTAGGATGATTTGATATTTAGTTGTATTCGTGGGACAAGGCAAGCCTAGAGTCCTCCTACTCTGCCACATCATCCTCTCCCCAACCCCCAAAATATTTTTGTTAAGGTTTTGCTGTATCTATGTTAATGTGGGTATTGCTGTGTAATTTGTCTTAATATCATTCTCCATATGTAGTATCATGTTATTATTGGGTTCACTTAATTAGTTGGGAAATGTATGAACCTTGTTTTGGAAGACTTGTGCACAATTGGTATTGTTTCAGCTTTACATATGCTGTAAAAGTTCTAAAATGTTCCAGGGCTGACCCTAAGCTGACAGCTACATAGAAAACAGGGACAGGAGTCCTACAACCACAAGGAACTTAAATTGTCTGACAACTCAAAAGAGTAGGAAACAATCTGTTTTAGAGTCTCCAGAAAAGAACACATCCCCTGCCAACACCTTGATTTTAGTCCATTGAGACCTGTCCTGTGTAGGTCCTGGGTAGGACTTACAACCCACAGTGCTATAATAAATTTGTGTGGTTTAAGCCATAGGTCTGTGGTGATGTGTTAGGACAGCAATGGAAAGCTAATACATCAACATCATTCTGTGAGCATTTCTTAGCTAATTGAAGAATATTTCCTAGGCTCATGTACCTTTCCTGCCCCCAACCTGAACATAGCCTCTTTTCCGAGTGTGGGTTCTTTTTATTGAAAAATTACATTTACAAGACAATAATTGGCCACTAAATATGCTGATGTCTACTGCAGTGCCACTGCTTTCTAGGCTGAGAAGAGATAGGGGTTATGTACACAGGTACATCTACATACATTGAATTCTTCATCTACATTTAAACCTACAAAGATTTCACAAGATTGGATAAAGACTGATAAGACTCCGGTATACTCAGAAAGACTTTTATTTACAGACAAGATATAGTACCATAAAAGAAAAAGAAGAGAATACCAAACGTGCAGTCACTAACAAATAAATTGAACTTCATGAAAATTAATAAATTCTGCCCTAGGGAAGAGACTTAAGAAATGAAAATCAAAGGCACAGACTGTGAGAGAACACTGGTAAAGATACACCAAATAAGGAACTTCTATCTATGTAGAATGTATCAAATCACAAAATAGTAAGAAACCAACCAATTTTTCTAAAAGTAGGCAAAAAAACACAGACAATTCCCTAAGGAAGATACATGGGTGGCAGATAAACACAGAGAATAATGCTCAACACTGACTCACTATGGAGATGCAAGGTAAAACCACACACCTACTAGAGTGGCTGAAATGAATAAAGGGCCTGTGTCTTACATACAAAGGTCAGCAATGTGAAGAAACTGGAAATCGCATATACTCTAGGAGGAAATATGAAATGTCACAGCTATCTAGGACACAACTTGGCAAGTTCTTACAAAGTTAAATAGATCAACTTCCTGCATGACAGTGTGAGGAACTTTGTGGGCCTGCTTATTAAAATTGGGGAAAATTATAAAAACACAACTTAAAGTCTCTGGAAATGGTCCTAAGGGTATACTGCAAACAAGGAAACATTTCCTCAAGAACACCTAATATTCAGTAAGAACAGCAAGAGCCAGTCACATCTGAACCAAGACCGTTACCTCTCCCCATTCCAGTGACAGAGGTAGAAACTCTGCTCCAAATGGATACATCCAGGAACACGGGACTCCCTCTTCCTGGAGCGCCGAGGCAGAGGCCGACCTTCTCAGGAGGCAGTATGTCAGCATAGCTGGATGAGTGATGGTCCACTGCGGCTCCCTCACGAAGGCTACGTGCAGAGCTCCTCTGTCTGAAGTTAGGATGCCCGTGAGACCACACGTGCACTGCACTCCTAAAGCTTCTCTCCAGTGTGAACATTCTGATGCCCAACAAGGTTAAGTCTGTGGCTGAAGCCAAAAGACTCTTCACATTGACTGTATTCATCAGCCTATCTGGACTGAAGCTTCCACTGCTGAATCAGGGCAGACCTTTGGTAAAAGGCTTTTCCACATTAGTTGCATTCAAGACCTTTCTCCACTGTGAACTTTCTGGTGTTGAATGAGGTTGAAACGCTGGCTAAAGGATTTCCCACAATTACTGCACTCATAAGGCATTTCTCCAGTGTGAATCCTCCGGTGTTTAACAAGGCTGGAGCTGTGGCGAAAAAACTTCCCACATTCCCTGCACTCATAAGGTCTCACTCCAGTGTGAACCCTCTGGTGTTTAACGAGGCTGGAATTCTCACTGAAGAATCTCCCACATTCGTTGCACTTAAAAGGCTTTTCTCCAGTGTGAACTTTTCGATGTTGCATGAGGCTAGAGCTTTGGCTAAAAAATTTCCCACATTCGCTGCACTCGTAAGGCCTTTCTCCAGTGTGAACCCTCCAGTGATTAATAAGGCTTGACTTGTGGCTATAGAATTTCCCACATTCACTGCACTTATAAGGTCTTTCTCCAGTGTGAACTCTCTGGTGTTTCATGAGGCTTGAGTTAAAGCTAAAGAATTTCCCACATTGGCTGCACTCATAAGGCCTCACTCCAGTGTGGATCCTGTGATGCTGAACCAGCGTGGAATTATGCCTGAAAGCTTTTCCACATTCACTGCATGTAAAAGGCTTTTCTCCAGTGTGGACTCTCTGGTGTTGGATGAGGTCGGCATTGCGGCTAAAAGATTTTCCACACTCCCTACACCCGTAAGGCCTTTCTCCAGTGTGAACTATTTGGTGTATAAAAAGGTTTGATTTATGGCTAAATAACTTCCCGCATTCACTGCACTCATAAGGCTTTTCTCCAGTATGTAGTCTCTGGTGCTGAACAAGTAAGTATTTCTGACCAAAGGCTTTCCCACATTCACTGCATTCGTAATGCCTTTTTCCAGGCTGGAAGGCCTCCCCACCTTCGGTGCTCCTATGTGGCTTCCCTCCACTGTGGGTCACCTGATGGTTAAGAAAACCAGCACTAACTGGGAAGTCCTTCCCACCCTCCCCGCCCTCTTCTCTCCTTAAAGATCTCTCTCCACGGTGCAGCTTCTGCTGTTGAAGTTTTGCTCTGAACACTCCTTCTACATAAACACTCTGCCCAGAAGGCGCGTCCTCGACCTCTGCTCTACGCCGCAAACCTGAAAGCAAAGAGATGCTGGTGAAGTGTGTGTGCACTTCCGTGCAGGGGAGGGGGGAGCACACTTACAGATGTGTCCGACCCACCCAGGAATCAGTCCACAGTATTGCCGGCAGAATCGGGCCTGGGGTTCGGGGCCAGGGAGGGCCTGCTGTGCAGTGCCAGGCCTGGTGGGCTCACACACTGGCGAGGGGCCTCATGAGCAGCAAGGACACAGGACGGGGTGTAGGCTGGGTCTCCAACACATTCCTCTGCAAATGGCCTTCAGCAAGGCCGCTGAGGGCACAGGAACACCGTGCGGAAGGGTGTGTCCAGGCCCAGAAGAAATCAAATGCAACTGAACAGCTGGTGTTCAAGGACCATTAAGGATACATGCATGCCTCATGACACTCGGTGAACGCCTGTACCGTAACCTTGAAAACTCCATATTCTCCCACTGCCTCTACATCCCCACAAACAGGCTGTGAGCTATGTGACCACGTGCACTAGTGTGACTAGGTGGGGCCCTGCCACAAGTCCCCCTTCCTGCCCGCCCATGACTGGGACCTGGTGCCATTCAAACGCACCAATGAAATTCCCTCACTCCTTTTCTTGTGCACCACCCCCTGCCTCCCAGTTCAAGCACTTGCCCACAGGTCGCCTCTACATCCCAGCCTGGCTGAGCTCCCTCCCTGTGCTCTCCCTCCCAGCGGAGTATAAATTTTGTTTATTCCCGCGCCTGCCCCACAAGCGAATACAAAATGGTTGGCGTCACAAACAGGATGGTCTGGTCACAGGGCGAAGATTTAGGAAATGTCTGGAACTGCTCAGTTTATTAACCCGCTGTCCCAGACGGGCTCCACCACCTGGGGAGGCAGTGCAGTGCTCCTATGTGCTGGTTTGAGCTGTTGTGTCGCCTCTCAGGCACTGCCAAGGCTTTCCACACTAAATTGTGGAGTTCATTCTCCTAAAATACCCCGAGACTTCACTTCTTGCCAGGCCTGACTCAACAGGGTGGTGGGGATGGGGACTGGGCGAGTGTCCAGGGCTCCCTGATTAAGGGGCAGACTGGTATAGTTGGCTAAACATCTATGAAGTCTCCACGGGGATTGAGGGTGAGGGTGGAAGGGCAGGCTCCCAGCAGCCAGCAAAGACACTGAATGTCAGGTGTGGGCCATTAGCTGCTTGTCAACAGAGGAGGGCTGGGTGACCTTCGGGAGATGCCTCCCGTGTGCTTGCGGCATCAGCACGGGGAGGTTCCTCACGTTCCCACTCAAGTCTGTGTTCCTCCTCAGACCCAACCACCGATCTGCACTCCTTCAATGGGAGTCTACCGTGGCCCCCCATGAGGGTCAGTACTACGGGCACCCCCTTCTCCAACGTGTTGTGTTGCTGCTGTTGCTATTTGTCTCCCAAACCCATGGGTATCAATGGGTCCCGTCCCTGGAGGTAAGTAGCTCAAAATATTAGGCCCAGGATCTCGGCAGGAACATTCAATTCTAGCACCTCCCAATAATCAGAGGAGGTGAACCAATGATTCAAGAAAGGTAAAACAACTTTGAAACATTTCTGGGTTCTGATTAGTGCTGCTGCCTGCCAACTGCGATCTCTGCTCCCAAGGGATAGGACCAACCCCCAAAGGTCATCTGGCCACCACAGCTCTCCTCAATGGACTCCAACCCAGCTGAGGTCACCCACAGAGATGGGGCCACAGGAAGGAAGCATCCAAGGTCTTTCAGACCCAGCAGGTCAAGAACACAGGAGATCACAGGGAACTAGAAGCTAAAATTCATAACTTCACAAGATTGGAAATCCAAACTATTAAAGATTCTGTGCAAAGAGATGGAGTGGGGAAGGAGCTCAGTGGTTACCGAGAGTATTTACTACGGGCGCGCAGCTCTTGTTCACAGAGCCCCAGAGATGAGGCAGCTGCTGGCATCACTTCAAAGAGCTGAAGATGCATCATCTACTTCAGGATCCTCTGGCTCACCAAGGCCAATCTCACATGGTATTTGGGGCTGAAGGCACCCAAGGAGGACATAGGGTATCCCCAATGTCAGCGCAGGGGTGACAGAGGCTAGAATTTTTTGAGGCTATATCAAAGCCTCAGGTGAGGAATCTGAAACCTCTCCCACCCCTCAGGATTCAGAAGCCCTGCCTCCGTGGACTTGGGTTTCCACGGCCTGGAGATGGCTGACAGAAAACCATCCCACTACGAGGGATGCCCTCATGCTCCTCCGCAAAAATCAGAAAGGTTCAGTGGACCTATCAGTGCTTTGAACATTCAGACAAGAACAATCCAGAGGAGCCTCTTTGTCACGGAGTCTCGGAGTTGTTCTTGAAGGCACCCTTCCCAATTCACAGCAGAGCTGCTTAATTTTATCGGCATGTCCACGCCAAGCAGGATGGAATGGATTTCCCGACAGGCCATAAGGGCTCCACCTGCCATGACTCACCTCACAAAGTCTGACTTTTCACACTCCGCCTCCTAGGATGCAGACCCCCCCGCCCCTCCACTATTCAGCCTGCTCTGTCCTTCCCAATTTGCTGATGCTGCTTCTGGGCGATGTGGCTTTGCCTCATTTACTGACAGCTGAGACACCCTATGAACTACTAGTTAAGCTATCCCCAAATTATAACAACTAAAGGAGATTAAAAGAGCCTCACCCATTATTACCCAGAGGTCTGTAGGCTTAGGGAACCACTCCTCTGGAACCACCCAAGGATGCTTCCAGCTCCGAAAATGGCAGCCGCCAAGGCCTCTCCAGTGAGGATTCAGCGGGGCCTCAGGCCCAATCACACTCCCCAAGGGCAATCACCCATATATAACTCTGATAGTTCACTGGAACTCTAAAAATAAACATTTCCTAACTTTACAGACTACAGGAGCCCAAGCTACCATCATTCCAAGCAACCCAACTCAGATTTAAAGGAGGTGCCCCTTTTAAACTACAGGGTAATGCCAGTAAAACAATTCATGGCAACAAAAGTGCACTTGCTGCCAATACTGCAACAATCCTCATTAAACGGCTGCCTGTCACAGTGGCCCCTAATGCTTTGAGTCTTCCTGCTGTAGACAGAGATACTACAGGCCGTGTACAAAGCTGGACAAGCCATAGTCCCTGGCCCTGCCAGTAAAAATCACCAAGTGAGAGCCGGGGGCGCCCCTGCTGGTGAAGGCAGTAAATACACCACAGTATCACCTGAAACAAGGGGGCCTTCAGAGCGCTGTTCGAGATCTACTAAAGGAAGGGGCCATTCTTCTAATTTCCTCTTTCAGTAACCCTGTTTGGCCAGTCATCAAGGCTTCTACCAACAGTGCCACTTAACTATCGCTTAAGTTCCCCCCCATCGAGGCTCTGATACCTAACACAACTGAACTAAAGGGTGCCCAGGGACTATTTTGCTGTGGTAGATCTGGGCAGTGTATTTTATTCAGTACCTACTACCAGTCATAGCCCGTGTGCCTTTGCCTTTCAAGGAACCCAACACACATTTACTGAGTTGTCCACCAGTGACTTAGCCCGGCCACCGTCCACCATCTCTCAGGACCCAGAAAGGGTCCCCCCAAAGCACCTTGTCTGCTTACACCACCTGCCTTTGTCCCCAACTATACTCCCCGGGAGTGGCTGCACATTACAATGACGTCACTCTCACAGGCCTTCCACTTGTGCCCAGGAACCAGCCACGCTTGACCAATGCCCCCGTTAGGGCTCTTGCCTCCTCACGGGCACATTAGCCTTCAAGTAACAGCGCCTCTGGATTCCACTACAACCCAAACTCATGGGTACACCACTTTCTGTACCTTCCGCTGCTGACCCCAGGAGTCTGTACGCCAGTGTGCGGTGCTCACACTGGGGATCCCCACAGCTCTTCATCCACCGGGTACCCACCCCCTTTGCTATCGACCCCAGGCAAAACAGGCAACATTTATTCCCATCTGAGTAGGCCTGGCCATACCACGGGAGACACCAGAGCTGGCCCCAGTTCAGCAGCCTTTGTCAAGTGGGATTACGGCATGACTGCCCACCAGCACCTTCCGGCGGCCTCTCAAGGTCACAGACAAAGGCTGTACTAAACACTGTTCCGTGTGCAACAAGCCCACGAGTCTCTAAGCCCACGTGGCCACGGATAACAGACTGGCTTACAACTGTTTACCAGCCAGGAGAGGAGGTGTTCGTGTTCCTCGGGGTACTTCCTGCTGAATGTAAATCACTAATTCTAGATAGCTATAAGCCGAGCTTTGAAGATTAGGCCAAGAGATAAAAATCTTTCAGGGGCGCCTTAGCTGGTTAAGCGTCGGACTCTTGATCTGGGCTCAGGTCCTGATCTCACGGTTTGTGGGCTCGAGCCTTGCTGACAGCAGGGAGCCTGCCTGGGATTCTCTCTCTCCTCTCTCTCTCTGCCCCTCTCTCCGCTTATGCGCGCTCTCTCTCTCAAATGATAAGCATTAAAAAAAAAAAAATCTTTCATAATGTAACCAAAACCTTCCAACAGCTTCCCTTAAACCAAGAGGTACCTGACCTGTTCTCCTGGCTTTCCCCCACTAAGTGCAGTGTCTGGCTGAGGCCTGGGTTTCAAGCCCTCACCCTGTGCCTAGGACCCCTCCCCGCGGTCTACATCAGAGCTTGCCTTGGGTGGCTAGACCAAGCTATGCCAGGCACCTCTAACATCCCCACCCCCAGGAGGCAAGTGTGAGCCGTCCCACCTCGTCCTGCCGATGGGGTTGAGCCACCACAGGCTCAATTGTACTGTAACCTTTTAAACTTCTGTATTTTCCTGCTGCCTCAACATCCCCACAAACAGGCTGTGAGCACTCCACCCAGGTGACCAGCCTACCCAAGTGATGTCCTGTCACAAGTCCCCCTTCTTGACCTCTCCTGTGACCTAGTGACATTCGAATGTTCCAAATGACATGTGCTCACAGCTGTTCTTGCGTCCGCCCCCTGACCCACCGGTCCTCACTCACTCTCTGCTTCCCCCTGCTTGGCTGAGCCCACTCCCCGAGTGCTCCCTCCCACGCGAACCCCTCCCCACACCCCCCCAGTGTGTCGTGACTATCTCTGGACCTACTTATGACCCCCCACACACATACCCTGAGCGTGTCGTGACGGTCTCTGGACCTGCTTGTGACCCCCCTACACACCCACACACCCCCAGCGTGTCGTGACTGTCTCTCTGGACCTGCTGCACATAATAAACTTTGCTTTTTCCTGAGCTGCTCTTGACTCTCCTCTTGTGGCCCTGCCCAACAGACCATCTCATAAAACACAAAACAAGGCCGCTGTTGGGGAACACTGCAGAGGGAGCAGTGGGGAAGATCAGGTGAGATCCGGAGGACGGGCAGAGGGAAGGGGATGGTCCTCAGTCAGAAATCAGAGTAGACGTGGTAAAAGCACAACTGAGAAAGAAAAGCTGGAACTCAGCTGTGGCCTGGGCCTCGGCACCCAACCACCAGGGTCCCGTACAAGGACTCCTGGTATGACCTGAGCCCGTCCGAGTTCACATCTGCCCAGCCCCTCCCTCCAAGTACCTCTTGGCATGGCTGCAGTCATGACTCCACGGGGAGGCAAGGAGGGCTGTCTCCACCACTCCAACTGGGTAATTTCATGAGTCCTGGAAGACGCGAGTCCTAAGGGAGAGATAAGACAGGTAGATCAAAGCGACTCACCTCATGACAGACCACAGGAAAGAAAACTAAATATTACAGAAGAATCTTAGAAGACACTCCTGCAGGAACAGCCCAGTCAAGCAGTGGCTCTGTCGGTGCCTCAATTGCTGTTATAGGCACATCCCACACCTCAGCCAGAGAACAGGGCAGAGCCTGGGGCACAGAGCGGCCATGGACCTTCACGGCATCCCTGGGCCAGGGAGAGGCGACAGGGTGTGACCCATTAGGCTGACCGCAAGACTCCTGATCCCCAAACTTTCCTGCATGGCTTTGGAGCAGCGAGCATTCAGGCAGCTCAAGAACAGAAGGGGTAGTGCACGGAGCCCAGGCCGTCAGAACACCTACTCAAGAACACAGGGAAGAAGTGCCCACGGTCCGGCTTTGGAAAGGCCAAACCAGCCCGTGAGGGAAAGGGGAAGAGCAGAGCCCAGCCCAGGACATGGCACTGGATTGTGAGGACCTTACCCAGAGAGGCCATCAGTGCAAAGTTCTCCAGCATCACATCACGGTACAGGAGTCTCTGGGCTTCATCAAGGAGACCCCACTCTTCCCAGGAGAAGCGGACAGCCACGTCCTCAAAGGTCACACAGCCCTGTCAAGATGGGGCAGCTGAGTTTATGTGTACCCTCCTTTCCCAGGACTCCAGCCATCCCCACAAACGTCCTCACCTCAGAGGAGCCATTGATGCCTGCTTGCTCCTCACTGTCCCGATAAGCACTGTTCAGTCCTCAGCAACAAGGAAAATGCCACCTGAGTTCTGGGCCTGGCATGCAGAGCGTCACCCTCCTGCCAGACAATTCACTTGGAGTCCCCCAGACTGTGCTTCCCAAACACAACTAACTTGGGGCCACTGTGCTCCCTTCAGCCCCTGTACAAGGGCCTGGAGCCATCCCAACACGACGTCACTGTGCCACACCTCCCTTCGTATCTCCGCGCCCCCCCCCCCCCCCCCCCCAACGCCATGCATCTCCCTGGCCTCACCAAATGCCACTGTATGCCTTGGCACATGTAATCAGAACCCCATCCTATCCCGGACTTCCCAAGGCAACCCCCAGGCCTGTTTTCGAGGCCTTCCTGCCTGGCCCTTGTCCTCGCTTCATCCTCAGCCACCAGGAACCACACACAGATGTCAGACGCCCTCGGCTCTCCTCCACTGCCGTGTTGCAAAGGTGTCCCCTCACCCGTCTCAGTTTCCTCTGACACTTCTGTGAGCCGAAGCCCACCCGTCTCTCACACGAGGCTGGCCAATTCTCCCCGAAGACCCCGTGTCATCTTGAGCTAATCTCCTGGTCCCAGCAAAGGTCAGAACAGGAGCCTGGGGAGCCCGGAGCTGGATGAATAAGCAGAGGTGCCATCTTCACTGTCACCTCACTGCCCCGTCTCCACATCCATCTCATGGCCACAGGCCACCAGCCAGACCCTCCACACTCCTACACCCGGTCCCCATGGACACTGTTCTCCCTCAGGAGTCTTGTCCAGCAAGGCTTGGTCCTTGGCCCCACACCCCCCTTCCCTTGTTACCATACGGCATCGCCACCAGGGCCTGAAGATGCTCCTGCCAAATCTGATCCATGGCTCCATTCTGACCCACGCACCGTCTGTACCATGGGCGTCTCCAATCTGAGCGCTTCACCTCAGCTCCAGACTTGTGTGTCTGGGCGCCCCCTCGACACATCCACCTGAGGGTCCCTGACACATCTCATTCGACACAGCCCAAACCCGACTCCTGGTATTCCCGCCGAAAATGACTCTTACCACCGAGTCGGCCCTGGTGCTACGTGCCCGCTTCTAGCTGCTAAGACCAAACATCTCGGAGTCACCGCGGACTCTTGTACTTTTTTCTCCCACCCTCCACGTCACAAAGTCTGCTCAGACCTACTGATAAGCAGACACAGATTCCAATATATCTCCCGCCTCTGCAGCCGCCACCAACACTCACCTGACTATTGTGGCTGCCACCTCCCCACGTCCGCTCCTGGCCACTACTCCAGCTCCAATTTCTATTTCCTGCTGTTTCCACCACACACAACAGAGACCTAAAGTTGCGTGAGCATTCATGGCCCAGCCTCACCTCTAGCATTTTCCAATGTTTCTCACTGTGAATGTGATGCCTTATAAACCTAATGCCACTGGTTGCCAGGAATGGGAACCAATCCGTAAAATTCCCGGTCTGGACTCAGGCCCCCGACCTTAGGTGATCACTGTGCAGGGATCTAGGATGGAGGGGTGGGGAGAGTAGTGGGGAAAGAGTCACAGAATCCTGGACACCACGTAGATGGGAACTGAGCAGAGACACCCCTCACAACCCTCTGCACGGTCTGGAAGCAAATCTGCAGCCAACAGGAACCTACAGAAAAGCAAGGCCGGGAGAGGCAGGCAACAGTGTTGGGCCACAAAGGCCGCTCAAGGGCCTCACACCACCCGGGCCTTGGTCCTCAGGGATGCGTCTTACCCGCTGCGTGACTTTGGACAAATATTCAACCACCCTGTGCCTCAGCGTTGGCATCTGTGAAATGGGACTAACAGTGGTGTCCATCCAGTGGGGCAACCGTTTATATCAAACTCATCCCTATGTGTCAAGTACTGAGTAGTGACTCTTACTCTCCTCATAATTAACACTTTTATCAACATTTTTTAGGTTTATTTATTTTGAGAGAGAGAGAGCACACAGACAGGGGAGGAGCAGAGAGAGAGGAAGGGAGGGAGAGAGGGAGAGAGACAGAGAGACAGAGAGAGGGAGAAAGGGAATCCTAAGCAGGCTCCGCGCTGTCAGTGTGGAGCCCGATTTGCGGCTTGAACTCATGAACCATGAAATCATGATCTGAGCTGAAACCAAGAGTCGGACGCTTGACCAACTGAGCCACCCAGGAACCCCCTTTTGTCAACATTTTCAGTGAAAATGCACTGACAATATTGAAAGGGTATTTTGTACATGCCTTTTAACTAATAGAATGTGATATTCGAGACATTTGATTTCAATCAGATGCTTAGCAGTACATTAAAACCTCAATTATTGGGGTGCCTGGGTGGCTCAGCCAGTTAAATGTCTGACTTCAGCTCAGGTCACAATCTCACAGTTCGTGGGTTCCAGCCCCACATTGGGCTCTGTGCTGACAGCTCGGAGCCCAGAGCCTGCTTCGGGTTCTGTGTCTCCCTCTCTCTCTGCCCCTCCTCCACTTGCACTCTAGCTCACTCTCAAAAATAAACATATTTAAAAATTTAAAAAAAACAAACCCTCAGTTATTAAGGACTTACATCAACTTAGCTCATTAAATTTTTATTGTAATTGCCAATGTATGTATGCATATACACACATGTGTGTATGTGTACACGTGTATGCACATGCATATATACACATATGTATGTATTTTTATCAATTAATGTTTAAATAAGCACTTACTCGCATAAAGTCACAAGTTAATAAACTGGGAGCTCAGGCAGAGGAAATGGAGTAGATACTAGCCCTGGTGGCCCCTGGCTGTTTGCTGTGCTCTCCCCTAAGGGCAGTCCTGATGCGGCCTTTCCAAAGACTCAGCCCTCCAGCCCTGAAGGCTGCGGAAACTTAAGCACCAAGAGGGGCTGCTCCACGCACCAGACTGGCCTTTCCTTTCCTCCACAAGGAGCGGACACGGGGGTCCTGCTGAGGCTGGAATGGCAACCATCTCGGTCTCCCTTCCAGTCCTGGGTCCTTACACCCTATAACCCTCCACTGACTCACACACCCACCAGAACCACGTGGGACCACGGGATCCACCACTTTGGAAGCAGCCCCGCCTCCAGGCCCATCTGAAATATGAACTTGGCAATTCTTCTTCCTAAATAGGAGTCCCAGGCCTTGCCCTGGTTCAGGACAATGCCTACCAGCCCTCGGTTTCACACAGACCTCTCCCCAGAACTTGAGACGGGAGTGAGCAAGCTACCCACGTGACACCTGCACGCCACACGGTAACCTCGGTAATCTCGGATTACCCTGTCCCAAATCCAACTCCTACTCTTCTTCCTGAAGCGTGCTCCTGCACGAACTTCCCCATCTCCATCCTTACCGAGATTTTCAGGAAACATTTAGGGGAAAAAAAGAAAAAAGCAAACAAAAACACTGATGGTCCTTCATTCCCTTCTTTCTCTCACAGCCACTTCTGATGCAGCAGGAAATTCTGTCTAGTTTTAAAACTCCATCTGAGACCTATCGGTGCATCCCTTCCCCTGCCATCGGCCCAGCCCCGGCCACAACCCTCTAGCTGTCCACTGAACGGACTTGCTCCGCCCTCCTCACTAAGACGCCTTTGAAAACTCTGAGCAACAGATGGGGTCCCTCCTATGTGCACAGCGTTCCGTGGCCACCAACGGCTCAGAGCGAAGGTTCAGCCGCTCAGGCTGCCTTTCCACTCGTGACCCGTCCCCTCTCGAGCTGTTCCCTGGGGACAAACCCCAGGCCCTGTCCCTCTGCCTGTGACCCTCCTCTGCCTGTGACCCTCCCACACCGCATCACACTGGCTGACAGAAATGGGGACCCGACCCAGGGTCGTGAGCGTGGGCCGCCCCTTCGGATTTCGGCATGTGCGGGGAGGACCCGGGGACCAGCGCTTACCGGAGCCGGGCCCCTCCGCGCGGCCGCCGCCATCGGACTCTGGGCGGAACGGCGTCCTGAGAGGAGGACCAGCACGGGCCCCGCGCACCCCCGACCCCGATCCAGAATCGGGGTCACCCCCGGACGCAGCTGGCGAGCCTCGGACCGGCCTCCTCTCGCGGCTTCCCGCTCCCGTTGCCCCAGCCCCAGGGCAGCCTCCGGGAGCCTCAGATCAGACCGAGCGGCCCTAGACACCCCGAAACGCCCGCCCCTGCGGCCGCGCCACAAGTCCCGCCCAGCGCGTGCCCCACGCGGGGAAACGCCAGTTTTCATTGGCCGAGCGTGAATGCCGCGGGGCGCAGCGCCTCCTGGGTAATGTAGTTTCCACCGCCCCACCGGGGAGGCAGCGGCCAAGGCCCAGAGAGCTGGCTGGAGAAATCTGGGTCAAGAACTGTCCCAGACTCTCCAACAGAGGAGTGTAGCTGGGCCTGGATTTCAGTTTCCCCGAGCATCTGGTGCCACAGGCGTTCCTCCTCGTGAAGGACTGAAAGCGACTCTCACAGTAAAGCGGTTTCCTCGGAATGAACCAATGGTACATTACCAGACTTCCCTTGCCAAGGGGATGCCCGATATCAAAGACAGCGATGGTGAAGCAACGCCTGTTGTGTGAGGAGAAATGGCTTAGTTCTGAACGTAGGTGGGGAGGTAGTCGGGGATCCCAGGTGTTCACCTTCCTGCCTCACCCCACACATCTGTGTGTGTCTCCCCAACCCCCTCCCCCTTTGTAATGTTTTTAAAATTTTATTTATTGAGAGAGAGAGCATAAGCAGGGGAGGGGCAGAGGGGGGGCGGGGACAGAGCATCCGAAGCGGGCTCTGTGCTGACATGCTGACAGCATGAGCTTGATGTGGGGCTGGAACTCACCAACCAGGAGACCATGACCTAAGCTGAAGCCGGATGCCTAACCTACTGAGCCACCCAGGTGCCCGCCCTTTCCCTTTTTAAGGGCCCAACATTGGTGTTCAAGTAGGACGATAGGCTTCAAACCCATAAGCCAACACTCCTCTCACTCCCAGATTTCTCCCCTTCATCCCTTTCTATTCCGTGTTCCCACTGCCCTTTCAGTTCCACAGACAAAGCAAACTCCCTGCGCGTAGGAAGGATGCTGAACTATTACTGACACCAGGCAGCACTGGTAAAAGAAACACCACCAGTTTAGTATGTGGACTCCCGGCACCTCCCTCACCGCTGGTTCCATTTCTTTGGACCCTGTCTTCATTTCCCCAATTCTTCTCCTGTCCCTCTCATCTGTAGGCTGAGCAGTGACTAAATCCATCACTGCCTTGGAATCACTCGTGAGAACAAAAGATAATGAAGCATTGTCTCCTTCCTGTGACTTTCTGGAAGTAGGTGTTAAGTGCTAGGTGATTCTGGAAAGGAATTTAGAGTCAATATCGGAGTTGAGAACAGGAAATGATAGAGACTCAAGTGGCACTAGTTATTAAATCAGGCCACAATGTGGCATGTGACTCTAGACTATCATTTAGGGAAATATACATAAGTGGTAAACTATAAAGATATCAATAGCATGATGATCAAAATGTCAGATGAACTCTAGGGAGCCTCAGGGTCATGTAAAAGGAGCAAGGGACAAGGAGTGCCTAGGAAACATATATTCTGTTTTACATTGGGTGATAGTTTTATAGGTGTGGTCTTTCTGAAAGAAAAGACACGGGGCTCCTGGGTGACTCAGTCCATGAAGCATCCAACTCTTGGTCTTGGCTCAGGTCATGATCTCATGGTTTGTGAGATCAAACCCCACGTTGGGCTCTGTGCTAACAGCATGGAGCCTGCTTGGGATTCTCCCTCTTTCTCTGCCCCTCCGTGGCTCTCTCTCACACACACACTCTCTCTGTCTCAAAAATAAATAAATAAACTTAAAAAAGAAAGCATGAAGGGCACCTGGGTGGCTCAGTCTGTTGAGGGTTGACTGTCCAACTCTTGATTTTGACTCAGGTGATGATCCCAAGGTCATGGGATCGAGCCCCACATCGAGCTCCCACTCAACATGGAGTGTGCTTAAGATTGTCTCCCCCTCTGCCCCTCTCCCTGCTCCCTAAAAAGAAAAGAAAAGAAAAGAAAAAGCACAATTTGTACATCTCTTATTAACAGTCAACTGAATGTATAGCAGTTTTTAAAGTAAAGAAAGAGAAAAGGTTATGTAGATAGTTTAATTTTGTCACAGGAATAAACAAATGGATGATCTCAATAGCCTGAAACAGCCACACAAGGATGTGGAATTTGATCACTGGATCAGTGAGGACAGAACAGGCAATTTAATCATTTAGTTTAGGTAAAATGATTATCTACTGTCTCCAAACGTAACTGGGATTAGTTCTAATTAGCTGTGGTAAGACATACAGACACAGAAATTATTTTCAGAAAGGAAGAAGCCATCACTCCAATCCTTAGAAATAAGAGGCATGCCATGCAATGTAAGGCCACATGGAGAAGCACCAGGGTGGATCAGGAGGCAGAGAAGGAGAGGTGAAAGATGGCCCAGAGTCTTTACTGGGGTTCTCATGGGAAGGACAAGCCAGGCAGGGTAGGTACACTGAGCAAAGCTTGGATTGGATAGTTTGAATAACTTTAGCGGACTCTGGGATATAGTCAGTAGGACTCAACAGCTGCTACTCCTTCTGGGTGAAATCTACAGTCCCATTCCTGAAAGCTGTCAATGTTTTGTTTACTTTGAAAAGGAGAAAGAGGTCTCCGCTCCCCTCAAGGAGAACAGTACAGCAGAGAACATAGGCTACATGTCCTGGTCGACCTCAGGTAGGCTGGGCAGGACTTTGGGGTGGGACCGAATCCAAATCTGTTTACCTGATGCGCAGCAAAGCCAATCACTGGGACATAAGATATGCAGGAGGGAAATGGGAACTATACTCTTGAACTTTTATGGGTTTTTTTATATATTTTTTCAACGTTTTTTATTTATTTTTGGGACAGAGAGAGACAGAGCATGAACGGGGGAGGGGCAGAGAGAGAGGGAGACACAGAATCGGAAACAGGCTCCAGGCTCCGAGCCATCCGCCCAGAGCCTGACGCGGGGCTCGAACTCACGGACCGCGAGATCGTGACCTGGCTGAAGTCGGACGCTTAACCGACTGCGCCACCCAGGCGCCCCGAACTTTTATCTTTTTTAAATGTTTTTTAAATATTTATTTATTGTTGAGAGAGACAGAGAGAGAGGGAGACACAGAATCCAAGCAGGCTCCAGGTTCTGAGCTGTCAGTGCAGAGCTCAACATGGGTCTCGAGTTCAAAAACCATGAGATCATGACCTGAGCTCAAGTGGGATGCTTAACTGACTGAGCCACCAGGTGCCTCCTCTTGAACTTTTCTCTATAACTCTGCCCACTTCCTTGTCTTCCTCAGAACACTATCCACGTTTCTACCTGAATCTGTGTCTCCTGAATTGCAATTCTAATTGCCAAATAAGACTCTGTTGTTTTTCATTGTCAGTGACTTCTTTCTTGGTCAACAAGTTATATTCCAAATTTTTCCTCTTCTAGCCTAAAAAAATATATGCTCTGATCCTATTTATCATATTTAAGCTAAAAATCACAAATATCTATTTGATACATTAATACATTTGAGTTGTGAAAAATATTTAATGGGAAACCTCACTAAAAGGAGTCAAGAGGTTTCCACAGGGGGAGCTCTCACTCTCTCTCTCACTTGTAGTCAATTGCAGACCCAAAAGGAAGAGATGGACTTGACCTTACCTGGACTAGACCTTGCATGTTGATACTCTACTACTCCAACTAAAGGTAGAGATACTTTTCTCATCCCCTCAGGCAACAGCTCAGCCAATAAAGGTGCCACACTATTAATCCCAGTTTACCCCAATGGACTTGTAGTTCATAACAGCCTTCCCAACTTTCCTCTTTTCGCCCTGTGAAATTGTGTCTCTCCTTTGTTCCCCAGACTCACCTACAGTTTTACTGCAGCTTATTTGTCCTGGATTGGAATTCTCTTTTCCCAAATCAGCCCATCTTTTGCTGGTAAAATAACTGGCAGCTTCTATTTTTAAAGTTAACAGAATTACAAATGCATTTTCTTCCCATTTAGAAATATAAGGGATTTAGAACATTAAGCAAATAGCCTTCTCTCAGTGAGTATCTGGAGGAATGCATGGGAATTCCATCATTTTAACCCCACAGGGGGATAGGTTCACATTTTGCATAGATAATGAACATTTGTTTTATTTTTTTTAATTTTTTTAACGTTTTATTTTTATTTTTGAGACAGGGAGAGACAGAGCATGAACAGGGGAGGGTCAGAGAGAGGGAGACACAGAATCCGAAACA